TGAATTAGACTTTAATCACTGTCAATCCCTAATGAAATTACTGACTCATGCAAGGATTGTCAACTAGTGTTTAAAACATTAAGGGCATGATTTACGGGGAATTTGACATTCACAGAGTGCCAAAGTAACACCATTAAGATTTCTTTCTATTCGCAGGGGAAAACACGAGTGTATGTTCGTGGAGGGATCAGATTTTCATCACCAAAATTCAGTGGTCAAATTTAGCCCCACGAATGGCGGAACCATCAAATATTATGTCTCCTGGTATGAAACACAATCAAGTTCAAACCATCGCCTGTGGCATACTCCAGCCAAAATGCTTAACATGAAGCCAGCAAACTTTTAGACTGAACTTTCAGCATAAGAAAATAAAGGGGAAGACTAGGAACAACAAATGCTGGCAAAGATACAGAGAAAGAGGAACCCTCCTACACTGCTGATGGGAATGTAAACTAGTTCAACCATTGTGGAAAGCAATATGGAGGTTCCTCAAAAAACTAAAAATAGGAATACCATTTGACCCAGGAATTCCACTCCTAAAAATTTACCCAGATTCAAAAAAACATATGCACTCCTATGTTTATCACAGCACTATTTACAATAGCCAAGAAATGGAAGCAACCTAAGTGTCCATTAGTAGATGAATGGATAAAGATGTGGTACATATACACAATGGAATACTATTCAGCCATAAGAAGGAAACAAATCCTACCATTTGCAACAACATGGATGGAGCTAGAGAGTATTATGTTCAGTGAAACAAGTCAGGCAGAGAAAGACAAATACCAAATGATTTCCCTCATTTGTGGAGTATAACAACAAAGCAAAACTGAAGGAACAAAACAGCAGCAGACTCACAGACTCCAAGAAGGGACTGGTGGTTATCAAAGGGGAGGGGTGGGGGAGGATAGGTGGGGAGGGAGGGAGAAGGGGATTAAGGGGTATTATGATTAATACACATGGTGTGGGGGATCATGGGGAACACAGTGTAGCACAGAGAAGACAAGTAGTGACTATGTGGCATCTTACTACACTGATAGACAGTGATAGCAATGGGGTATGTGGGGACTCGGTAATATGGGTGAATGTACTAACCACATTGTTTTTCTAGTGAAACCTTCCTGAGTTGTATATCAATGATACCTTAACAAAAACAAAAGAATATACAGACTTCCAGGGAAAGAAAATAGAAGGGACAGAGAGAGTCTGACACCAGTACCAGGAGGTACTCAAGAAAAGTTAAGAAGATGGATCATTTTGTTGGGATGTTTGGTCTGGTCTATTAGACAGGTCAGTGTGTATGGGAAAAAAGTTACAGATGTTACTAGATTAGAAGAAAACTGAGAGACATAACAACTAGATTCAATATGTGAGCCTGAATTAGATTGTGGTTTGGGCAGACCAGCTTTAAAGGGCATTTCGGGAATAACTATGGAAATCCAAATATGGATAGACTGTTAGGTAGGATAAAAATTTTGACTTATAAAGGTAAAGATCATTAAGTTAGAAAACCAGGGTGCAAAGTAACTTGCAAAGTATCATCTCATTTTAATAAAAACACATGCATCCATATATATGTCTGAAAGCATAAACAAAAAAATATAAAAGATAATCTCCAACAGTAGGAATACACTGCTTTTATTTTCTTATTTTTGCTTATCTTATTTTATAGCTTTCTCAGGGCACATATCTAGCTTTTGTAAAAATAAGACATATCTTTTCATTGAAAAACTAAAAGAATTGTATACTGAGGGTGGGAGTGCCCTGATGTGACGATCCTAGAGTGGTAGACCTTTCTGGCACCTAACACTGATTACTGCAACTATTTTAAATGACCTTAAACAGAGAATTTTTAATCCTAGGTAAGGATAATTGGTGAAGATTTGTTCATCCCCCTCTTGTTTACTGCTGATAATGTATTTCCTGATGATAAGAAAGTGATCCTGTTTTAAAAGAAGGAAAGAGAAAACAGGAGAAGGGTGAATAGAGGCAGGAATTTGCAAAGAAGGAATTGGGGGAGGATGAGATGGGGATGGAAGGCAGAGCACATGATACTGTGATATCCGTGTCAAGTCCTGGAATAATCGAACAAAAGAACTCTCCTCTCCAGCCCCTCCACTGCATCTTACTAACTCTGAATCATGCCTTCCCAAAGCCTTCTCTGTCTTCCCAAGTCTGTGCACAGCTGTTTTATCCCTACAAACAATCTCAACATGCTAAATTAACTATATCCCACTTTCTCTTTATACTGTAATTTTACTGAGAGTAAGAGACAGATTTATGAAACCCCAGGTCTCAAGAATCTAACACAATGCCTAGAATACAATGGATGCTTTTATATTGATGCATTTGGAGGAAGCCTTTCAAGAAAACACATTTATAATGACCCAAGAAAATATCAAGCCCCCTAATATTACATTATCAATATGGCACCGAAATGAAAGAAACACATTCTGCAATAGATGATATCCTAACAACCAGACAGAGAACCATGGTCAAGAAATCTGTAGACTTCAGGAAATCAATGCTCCAGAAGAGCAGCTTCTACCCTATGGGCAGGTTTCAGTGTCTTTTCACCCCAGCATTTTCAAGCACCTCCTCCTCTCACTGGGGAGCCAGTAGGTCTAGGGCCAGACCAGCACTTTAACTCCTCACAACAACTGAAATCACCATCATCCCCCAAACTTGCTGGACTCTCAGCTCTGTTACTTAGTAACAGTTTGAGGTCATGCCTCAAACTCATATTCCTCATCCACACAAGGCTGATACTCAGATTGTGCTCAGGATGTTGTGTGAGTATTAAATGAAGTGATATAAGTAGAGGCCCAGAACAGTGGCTGGCACCTAAGAGCCCCACAATTACCAGCTCTTGTTACTGTTATTCTCTCTCACAGTAAAGGATCCCACTACCCACCCAGTTACTTAGGGCTGAGCATCATCCCAGAGATGCCTGTGTCCCTTCCACAGTGATCAGTGATGTCTATGATTGGCATGTTTGACTGCTCCATTCCTATAGGATAAAAATGAAAGCAGTGGGTATAACACATAGATCTCCCATTATCTAACCTTTGCCCATTTTTTGACAGTCTCATGATTTACACTATTTCCTTTTTATCTCCTAAATTTCAGCCTTAAGCCACATTAATTTGTTCCTCTTCTCAAGGATGTAACTGTCAATGGGAATCTACCTTACAGTCATTTAAGAAAAAAATCATAAAACATTCTTCATCTGCCCCCTTCAGGTAAAGATGAAATTTAACAATAATTCAGAAGATAACTGCTTTCCAAAAGACATGCATGATTTAGAAATGCACCATCACTGTGTGATTTGGTTCCTGAAAGTGACCTATATTGCCTATCAAAACTCTTTATCACACTTTAAAAACTTGGAAACAGAAATTTCAAATCTGTTTTAAAATCTATCAAAGAGTTAAAGCACATTATTAAAGTTATTTTGAGAATAAAAAGGTAACACTTTAACTAATTTACAAGAACCGATTATATTAAAAACAAGTCTCTACTTAACCTGAATCTGAGTCCCAACCTTTAAATCATTATTAAACCAAGATTTTCTTAAGTGTGAAGCAGTTCAAATTACATTCCTTTTACTAAAATTAGCCTGTTGACAATAGTAATAATTACTTATTCATTAACAATGGTATTTTGGTGGAAGCAAAAAATATTTTTGTATCAAGATATAAAAGAAAATTATTTTTAAATGTTGTTTATTTCATCTTTGCTTTTTAAAAATTTGTTTTGTATGCCCTACAATTTACATGCAATAGTAGCACAATGTATAGTCCATGTATACCTTACAGATAAGTGATTATGTATCACAGCTGCCTACCCAAACTATTTTTACCGATAAGCATGACTAATCTAAAAAGCTCATGGGGCCATTGCTCTAGACCAATTCTTCTCAAAGTATGGTTTGAGAAACTCCTGTGTCAGCACCACCACAGGGACTAAGCCCAGAAAACCAACTAATTTTGAGCATGTATAGTTGGGATTGGAACCTGTATTTTTAACAAGTACCCCTGCTTAAGGTAATTTGTAGTCTACATGTTGAAAAACATGGCATTGAAGGGAATAAAAAGCATTCTGCAGAGGAACACAGCCTAGGAATAAGACACTGGAGTGGTAGCCATGTGCCATATTCAGTGCCCCTAATCAGCTGTCTCCTTGTCTGCCTTGAGGGAAAGAATTTGCAAAACTGACCTCATCCAAGTATATAAACCTCTGACCCTCAGTGAAGACATTATTTCATAAAGAATGATTCTGTAATAATTGCCTCTGTTAAAAAATAGTTGTCCTGGAAGGGTTTTAAAAATAACCTTGCTTTCTGTAATTTCAGATATTGTGATATGTGCTAATCATTGTAAGATCATCAGAGGATAAACTCATAGAAAGGATTTGGTCAATGTGATTTCATTTTGATTCATCAGAGGGTCCAAGTTTAATTTTTTTGTTTTTAAAAACTTAAACTTTCTATTTTTAAAAATATTTTTAAATATTTATATACAAATCTAAGTATTTGTATAATAAATACAAATATAAATATTTAAAAATAAGTAAGTAAATAAGCAAAATTTTAAATACTCCCAAAAACCAGTACCACCCTTAGACCCAAGCAAAAGGCCACTGCTTTGAACCCTTCTTTTAAAGGACCCACATCACACACACACACACACACACACACACGTAAATGTATTAAAGAACAAACACACAGTGCCTCTGTAGTTTGGGATTTAGCACTCAACAGGACACAATGCAACTTTAAACCCAAACATCTGCTCTTGTGACTAACACCATTCAGGGCCCATGGAAATGCTTCCACACATCATCTGTCATTATGTTCTCAAAGTAAACAATCATCACATCCAAATATTGTAAAGGTTTGGATTGTGCTAAGAAACTGGAGGTGAACAATGCTTCCAAGAGCAGGGAGAAAAGACAAATTAATCAACTTGGCAGATCCCACAATTGCAATATATTCTTACCTCCTGCAGTACTGTTGCCCAGCAGAGTCTGGTAGTATTTTCTCGTTTCTCCAATATATGATTCTGCAGGTATTTGATATTTAGCAATTCTCTGCAATAGTTGCACCTGGCAGAAAAGAACATCTTGCAATATTAAATAATTCATATCACTTATAGATTGGTAAGTATGTAAATCTATACAATTCATTCATGAAATCCAATACCAACAAATATTTTACACTGACGACCAGCTCTGTGCATTGAACACTGGCATTAGCAAACAGTTTTATTTGAATAACATATTCTTAATTAATTTTCCAAAAAATGTACATTTCTCTTTTATTTAAAATCTTATATTCATTAATTACAATTTTTGTTTTTTACTCGAATTTATGTATAATTTGAGTATTTTAGCATAAAATAGCATTTCATAAATAATATATATTAAAATAAATTTTTGAAGTTTTCTATATTTATTTAAATGTGGACTCTTGATGAAAATATATTTAAATCTGGGACACTTTTAGAATTATCTTTTATTTGTAATCCTTCAGAACACAAATTATGAGATATTAATTATAACACAATTAGTGATTTTGGCTGAAATGAAGAAAAAAATTAATTTACTGGAATAAATTCAAAATAAATTCTGAATTATATCTATCTCTTTCATTTTATTACTCACCTAAACATTGCCAGATCAAAAACAAAACATTCAGGCATGTACAATAACAATTTAACTTGTCTTTGATATTTTCCCATCAAAAATCATAACTTTACATAGTTTTTGATTTTTCATTATGATGGTATGTTTGTCAAGGTAGAAGGATAGGACATTTATTTAATATAGGACATATATTAACAGTATCTTAGCTTATTTCATAACTTTTAGATATTTAGACAAATGGTCTGTGGGTATTCATCTGTAGTCTTGCCATGGGCTGCACAAATGTTAGAGGCAGGCCTGACAATTGTAACAAACAAAAACAAGACAAAACAAAAAAAATAGAGCCAAAACATCAACAAGAGGATCATAAAGTTGTGGGGATCACTATCACCTCCTCACGTTTCTTAAGCAAAGCTACTGGTTTTTACCCCACTCGCAAAACACCACTTAAAATCATTCTGTGTCTACTCCTACAATAAAGTGACATTTCTGGGTAGCTGGAGCTATTCCAGAGCATGTTGTTTTTCATTGCTGAACTACTTCATTGCCTAGTGGGAAGGATATTCTCCAGATTTAGAGAACCCACAGAAGATTCAGCACTTACTGGCTTTTGAGGAGTGTGAGCTCACACACAAAGGGCAACATGAAAGACAGCCTTTTTACCATGATGTCAGAGCTGTGGGAAACCATCACAGTCCAGTGACACTTAGATTACACTTGCTACCCGCCTAGGGAAAAGGTCACATACAGAAGGAAAAATGAATGCCTTGGCACTGAATTTCCTGCTATAAGTGAGGAGACAAAAGATGTGCAACTACATTATTTAACCATGCCTACAATTATGCAGTCAAGCATTTAAAGTTCCTTCTCTATCTTTCCTCTGTACCTTCAAAAAGACAACTAGTTAGTTGGAGTTTAGAAGATTCAGCACACAAGCTCTGGCACCTGCCTGACTCTGTTCAAATCCTGGCTCCACCAGTTATGAACTTGAGCTTTAGGGCAATTCTGTGCCTAGGTGTCCTCTTCTACAAAATGGATATAAGTAGGTACTCACCCCAAAGGGTGGCTGTGGGAATTATATGGGTTAAGCGCCTGGAATAGTGTGTGGGCATGGAATAAGTGCTGTGTGTGTAGTATGCAAATTTTTTAAATAGCCTTAATTATGTCACTACTTAAAAGCATCTAGAAGAGCAGTTTTAGGACATTTGACCTGAGGTGACTGCTACTGCAGGTCCAAGAAAAAAAATGTAACATTAAGATATGGCAAGGCTCCCCTTATTCTAGACTCTGTGGGTCTGTTGGCATAACACCTTTTTCATTTTGTATCTCTCAGAGCCCAAACTCCCTTCTACACTGGATTTGTGGAAGCTTACAACAAAGCACACTTCACAGAGGTCAAGCGGCTATCAGACAGAGAGATGGCAAATCGGTTAGGACTGCTGTGTAGACTAGGTGCAGACCTGATCACTCCCTCCCACCAGCCTGCCTAAAGCTCTGCAACCCAGGCACTTTGGCAGGAATTAGTCTCCTCTGAGGAGCAGTGGTGTCTTCTCTCTATAAGCCTCAAGAATTATGTCACCGCCGCACGTAACTTCTCTCTTCCTTCACCTCCCTTCAACACTTTCTCAAAAGAGTGTTAAAATGGAGGACCAGACCGAGGCAAGTTCCAGAAGGCCTGGGCAAGGGAAAGAGGAGAAAAAGATCATGCAGTAACTTCAGTGTATTTACTCTTACCATATTTTTTTTCAATGAAAGCCCTAAAACTCTCTCTCGAAACTCAGAGGTTTTTGGCATACAACTTGAAAAAGTCTGATGTAAGAGGCGAAAATGCTGTTTTTCAATCAGGCTCAAATTTCTGAAATAATGATCTTTTTGCATGTTTTTAGGAAGGATGTTGGTAAGATGGTTGCAAAATTTTTAGCAGACACATAAAATGGCCCTTCTAGTCTTCAAGCTCCCTCATGCATTTCTACAGATGATTTACAGATTTACTGGAGTCAAGCAATCTTTATATCAGACACCCTAACACTTTTGAGATGAGGTATATTTGTTTTCTGGTGCTTTCTTAAGAGGTCTGTAAGCTAGGCAAGAATTGTGTCTTTTAAATCAATTCTGATGCAGTTCTTGGCACAGGACTTGTATGCAGGTGCCCCATAAATATTTATTGTTGACTATTAAAAAAGAAAACAATAAAAAATTGTTCAAATTTTGTGGGATTTTTTTATTTTAGGGGAGAGGGAGTGAACCAGAAAATAGTAATCTTTATAAATTAATCACCCTTTTCCATGACTTACAAAAAACATAAGCATCAATATACAAACATCAATAGTGTGTCTTAAGGTATATGGTACCTTTTTAAAAAGTGATTGAAATTTAAAAAGAACATAGCATCAAAAATATCGTAAAAATAGTTACACTAATCCTCTAAACACGTGCCAAATGTTTTCAGGAGGAGAGGAGATAGTGCTTTGTCATTCCATCCCTTTCCAGTTCTCATTTGTGGCAGCCTCTGCCATCTAAAAAGCACTTTTCCTAAGCCCACCTATAAAACTAAGATCATGTTCCTACAGGTGTGCATTAAATAGGGTACAGGCTAATTCCTTAGCCAGGAAACCCCAAAATACAGTGACTTAAAGAAGAGGAAGTTTGTCTCCCATAACAGCCCAGAGCTGAGTAGTCTAGGACAGGAATCAGCATATACAGCCTTGGGTCAAATCTAGCCTACTGTTTCTATCTCTAAGAACAGTTTTACATCTTTATAGCTGAAAAAAAATCAAAGGATGTATAATCTATTGTGGCACATGAAAATAAGTAAGTAAAAATAAAATTCAATCTTACATGTCCATTAACTAAAGTTTTATTGGAACATAGCTAGACTCATTCATTGACTCATTCATAGTCAAGTATTATCTCTAGCTGCTTTTGCACTACAATGGCAGAGTTGCACAGAGACCTCATGAACCACAAAGCCTGAAAGAGTTATGAGCTGGCCCCTTACAGAAAAGGTTTGCTGAGTTCAGGCTGGGGAGCTCTCACCCATGTGGTCCTTTCCTCTTGAGGCTCTGCTGCTCTTTAGATTGTTATTTGACCAGTAGAAGTAGGCCACTGCCACATCCTTGTTCCAGTGACAGGGACTCATCACTTTTACGAATAACCTTGTAATGGACATGGTCAGCTAGCCCTTGGTTATGTGATGTGTTTGAAAAGCTTTGTGCAGCCATACTCTACTTCAGAGAATATGGCTACCTGAAACTGCTCTTCTACTTCTGAGCAGGACCACAGCAGAATAAACGGCAACTTCATCCTGGAACAGTATTGAATTAGCCTTCTAAATTAGAACCATAACCAGTCCATGCACATTACTATTTTGATACTTGACATGTTCTGAAATTAAAAACAGAATCATACTGGAAGTCTTGGAGTGCAAGATGGTTTTAAAAATTTGAAGATTAAATTTATTACAGGCTGGTGGGTGCTCTGCAACATCTCTCAAAGCCTTGTTAGACCAACCTACATATGGAAAGGAATTCACCACATATATGAGAAAAGTTATTTCAAATCCATGGGGGGAAACTATTTAATAAATACCAGAGGAATAATTGGCCATTCAGTTGGAGAAGACAAAAATCAAATTAGATTTCTACCTCACAACATATATAAATTAATTCCAGAAGGATTAAAAAACCAAGTGAAAATATTTTAAAGAGTATTAGAAAATAAAAGTCTTCGTAAAGAAGACACAAAACACAGAATGCATAAAGGAAAACACAGACCTATTGACTATATTTACCTTTAAACCTTCTATAAGGCAAAAGACAAAATATGTAAAAAGCTGACTTTACATCAGGTAACATATTTATAATATACAAAACATATATATCATGGGAAAAATGATTTAGAAAGAACATTTATTTAATTAAGTCATGTAATAAGGACATAAACAAGGAATATAAGCAAATTTCTTCAATTAAGAAATACAAATGGGTTATGAGTAAATGAAAGTTTCCAAACAATAAGACATAGCTTTACTCATCATATAAGCAAACATGAAAAACAAACATAGGAAATAAGGACTCTGGGGGGTATAGGTTGAAGGGAAATTTGTAAGTATCCATTAAAATTTTCAAATCATGTTTTCTTTAGCCCTTTAAGCGTTTTAACAATTCTATTTCTGTGTGGCTAGTCTGAGAGAAATACTTATGCACATGTAGAAAGAATCATATACAAGGGTGCTTAATGTTTATACTAGTGAAAATTGAAAAGACAGAAACATTCATAGAGGAATGGCTAAAAAAGATTATGGAGCATTATATAATAGTTGAAAAGATGGAGTCCCATTTTATGTACTAATATGAAAGTTCTTTATGAAATCATAGAATGAAAAAGCAAGTTTTACTTTAATACTCTGTGTGTACATATATACTTTTATAAAGTATGGCCTTGTCTATTTCAAAAGCTCATAAAATAAAACTATAGTTTGTATTTCTGTGTGTGAATGCACAGAAAAAGGCTGAAAGAACGCAAATCAAAACTGCCATATCCACTTCTTAGTGATAGCCTCCTAGGAATGTGATTAGGTGGGCTGGCTGAAGAGCAACTTTCCCTTGTTCTCTGTTCTTTGATTGTTGGAGAGTGAATTTATGGAAAAGACCCTCTCCGAGAGAATTTATTCTATATTATTTATGCAATTAATGTTAAATTGTAAAAAAAGCAAAAATGCCTTGTGTGATATTGTGGGAGCACCCATTCTACTAGTTCATTCACACTGGTTCTGCAGCTGTCTTTTCACCACTTGTTCTGTTCCACTTAGGCACTCCAATACCTCTACAAGCCAAACTGGCCAAGTGCGAGGTGAACCTGCTATTTGTTCACAAATTCACTGTTTTATACCACCTGGACAGGAAGTGACAGTTGTTCCTCACTTTATAATTTATTTCATTGCCTACTGGTACTAACTGGAAAAGAGTGTTTAAAGCAATCATTATTTTCAAAAACTTTGACCAATATTTGTGCTGAAATATCATTTTTCTTGGTAAAATATCAAAATGCTTAAAATGAAGTCTTTTTTTATTAGAAAGTAAAAGTTACTTATAACTAAGTCCAACAGAATGGAGTAAAATTTCTGCCAAATGTTCTCAACCTTTTCTAGCTTTAGCAATAAGAATACATGTCTTTCACATTTTAAAAAACATGTTATAATAATGTAAGGCAAGTCTGTGGAAAACTTAATATCTTCATTTTATACTTAAGTAAATTCAGGCTAACGCAACATCAAGTTAATCAGAATTGAGATTAATGCTTAAATCTTCTGACTTCTGGCCTAAATTTTTTCCCCTGCATATTGCCATCCACCACCAACTAAAACACTTTCTTCATCTTCTGGTAGTGCTTTCTAAAACTGAAAGCCTTACCTCTGAGGGTTATAATACAGCATTCCCTATATGAGATTGGAATAGAATGCAAGAAGCTGAGTAAAATTCATTTTAGAAAAAGTTGTTTTAAGATAATGATAAACATTTCTGAATGGTGGGTAAAAACTAAGAAGAATTTCACTCTTGCAAAGAGGATGAAACATGCAAAAATAAAATTTTGGTCCATCAAAATACATACTCATCTGTATATTACAGAGGGATGCTCCACACTATTTCATTTTAAAATGGACTCTCCATTGCTGTTTCATTTTTAAATGGATTCTAATTACTAAACTGTAGTCTGAAGGAATTATGTATTAATTTTTCAGTAACTCAACTTGAGATTAAGGTGTATATTATTCCTATGCCAACTAACAGAAAGATTTATTGCTGCATATTTTGTATCAGGTTTTGATAGAACAAATCTTACATGTAAATAAATATATCTTAAATCGAAGTACTCCAAGTGCATTTTAAAATTTTGTGAATACTGTCAAGACTAAAACCACAACATTTTTTTGTCCTAAACTAGTCTGTACTACATCATACAGCTTGTTAAGACAGTAGATTCCCACACTATGGAATTGCAAGCGACTACATACATGTTTGTTGCTTACCTAGCACAACTGACCTAAATATGTGTCAGAGGGCATGTTGCAGCTGATTTCACCACAAAGTCTGGTGACCACCATCAGTCACAGAGACCAGAAAAGAGAACCGATCTCTTTCCTCCTATGAATTATCCATTAGGTATATTTGTACTGTTAGGCTCATTTGCTGCAAATCTGTGGCTGAAATTTTATAATGTATCCCAACCTTTAAGTACCTAGAGTGAGATCTGTAGAACGGTGTCTGTACTGACTCACACTGCTGCAACACCAGTGCAGCAGCGCCAATGACAAGATGCAAGCGCTGCAACCGCCAACCTGCACAATGAAGGAGAACCAAGGACCACGGGAAACGGGGTCTAATGATAGTATTTCTCTGCTTGATGCGCAAAAATGTAACCCTACGTTCTTTTGTGCTTTAGACTGTGCCACTGCCCGGTTTACCTGTCGCGTATTTTGGGGGGATACCATAATGGAATATTCGGGGGTGTGATTAGTCTTGGAAGTAATAGATTTGGTGTGTATTTTAAACATTTCCAGGCCAAAGAACGGTAGAGCGTAGGTGGGCCACTGCTCCAGAGCTGGCCAGCCACCTTTAGAGAAGAAAGGAATTAGTGATGTCAAACTTTCAGTTCTGCAGAAATCTACTTTCGCTCTTTAAAAAAAAAAAAAAAAAAAAAAAAAAAGGACGGCTTCGTGCTGGGCGCCCTGAGGCCGCCGGCACTCTGTGCTTCCCATTGCACGGAAGCCACAGCTTTCGCTAGTCTCATACTTGGGGTAGTAGTGAGAAGGCAAGTTATCAACAATCATTGAATATGAAAGACATTCTCCTCGCACTGTGTCCCAGCTCGGGATTCTTCCAAGTTCCATCTCCTCTGCTCTAGACGGATCCCTGGCCCTGGGCTCAACATCTCTTCCACACCTGGATCACCGACGGTTGGGCACCTGGGGCACCTCGCTCCAGCCTTGCCTCCCTCCACCCCTATGACCAGCGGCGAATGCAGCCCCACCGCGCTGGCCAGGGGAGATGAATGTGTGTCTGGCTTTGAGACAGCCGGGTATTAGAAGCCCAGTGACACCAGAACACAGGCTCCCGGGTCGCAAGCACCTCCTGTAATAAACTCACTCGTTATGGGCACAAACCCGACCTCTAACTTCACTCCAGCTAATCTCAATGAAAATAAAGGGCCCTTCTCAGTGTTCTCCCGCCTAGCCAGGCAGGGTGAAATTTCCGGCACTCGAGCCAGCTAAGACACGGGATTTGCACCGTAGCCTCTCAGCTCCTACAGCTCAAGCCGGGCGCCACTCGCGCCTTCTACAATTTCTCCCCTAAACGCGAAGGAAATAGCCCGTCTGCTCCGCGCCCGCGAGGCCGTTGGATCTGAGAGCCGGGCCTGCTTGGGGGGCTCGTCGGACCGGGGGCCTCTCCGCGAGGGTTAAGAGCAGTCACCGCGGCCGGGCGGGTGCAGAGGCTTCCTCTCGCCGGCCCGGGAACGTGGATGCCGCGCCCGCAGAATGTTCGCTGGCTGGGCCGGGCAGTCAGGAAACATGAGAAGGCCTCAGCATTCCTGTTCCCGGGCCGCGCGCGCCCCTCCGGGTAAATAAAGCCGAGACGGCGGCGGTGGCGGCGGTGAGAGCGCTGGAGCCCACGGCGAGAACATGCGGCGGGGATGGGAGTGCGCCTAGCCTCGACGCAGGAGAGCCAGCTGCCCCACCGCCGGCCGCCGGCCCCACCGCCTCAGGTACTGCCCTCGGGGGGCGGCGGCCCCGCCTGGGGCCCAAGGCCGTTCCTTCCCTCGGCCCGCGGCGCCTCGGCCGTCCCCGCCCTTCCCCCACTGCCTCCGAGGTCCGCCGGGGAGAGGCCCGGGGTGGGGGTGTCGACCCAGGCTGGCCCAAGGGTCTGTGAGGGGCCTGGGTACCCACCTGGCCGTTCCGCCTTCGCTTTAAAATTGTTCGCGGGCGTTGGGCAGGGTAAGTGCCGCTGGGAGGGAGCCAAGCAACAATTCGGAGTGAATCAGGGTCAGGGTAAGTGGGGAGCACAGGGCCCGAGAGACGTCCGGGGAGGGTCAGACGGCGGTTCGCACGCCCCCGACCCCTGGAGTCGGTTCCCAGCTCCCGGCCCTTCGTCGCCCCCTCCTATCGTACAGTCTTCTGCTGCAGACCCAGCCTGGCCCGGGCGGGGGCGGGGCCGGGGCTGTCTCTGCTTGCGACGTCTGTGTGGCCTTGGGGACGGCTGGAGAGGGGTGAGAGATAGCAAACCTCGCCGGAGGACGGGGCTGGAGTGGAGGGAGTCGGCAGGGCCGGGAAAGGGTGTGTTTCACAAATAGAGCGGCGTGAACGCAAGGCGCCCAGCGCGCTCATTTAAAAAGAAAACAAAGCGAGTCCTGACCTTAGAACGGGGGCAGCAAGCACGGAAGTGTGCTTTCACACTTATCGCGGAGGCTGTGTGCACACCCCACACACATACCTGTCTACGGGGCAGGAGGAATCAGTCTGCGGGTACTCGAGGCAGCCGGAAGAGGTCTGGCTTTACCTCCCGCGCTACTGACGGCAGCCGTCGTTTAGTCGCGGGGTCTTGGCCCGCCGTGTCCCGCGTGGCAGCTGCTGCGGTGGCTGGAGGCGGGGCGGGGGGCGTCGGCGCGTGTCTGAGGGGCTGGTTGCCCGCGCCCCGGCGGGGCGGGGTGAGGGGCGCGGGCTGCACAGCGGAGACTGCTCGGAAGGACCCGGAGCTTCCCTGAGTCTCGGAGCGGCGAGATGGGGCGGGCTGAGGAGGCCGCGCGCCTCGGGGCGGAAACTCGGAGGCTGCGCGGCGGCGCGGACTCATCCCGGCCGCCGTGACCCGGGAGGTGAGCTCAAGCGTTCTCCCGCGGGGCTACGCAAACCGAGAGCGCAGAAGCCGCGCTGTCTCCTTCCGCCCCTATCACCTTAGCAGCCTCTGAAATAGTTCTCAGACACCCTGGAAAGGGGCGGGTATGGAAGGGTTCCCAGCTGGCGGTGCGAAAAAGGACATCACTGACGGCGGGCTCCGGGGGTGGGGGGTGGGGAGCCGCGATCCGGCTCCTTTGATCCCGCGCGTTCCGGAGCGGTCTGGGGGATGATAGGAAAAGTTGGAAGGAGGGGGATAATGTGGTGCACTTGTCCCCCGACGCCACTTAACTTTTCACCTCTGGAGTCTGCTGAGTCCCTGTCCTCACCCCAACCCCGAAGGAGCTTAACTCGCTTTCGCCAAACCAGCCAGGATCTAGAAAACATGAAAATCCTCGAAATCCTGGTATGGCCTGGGACTCATTGACTGGAGCTTGTGGATGCTGTCGCTCGTATAACCCCAAAATTTCCCTTCATCCCAATCCCTCCGTACGATCCGAGTGGGAGATCCGAGATGCTTTAGTCCTCCGTTGTGACAAGAACAGCGCGCGGCCCTGCGCCTATCCCGCTCCGCTGTCCGGGTTGTCCTTTTTCCAGATTAAAACTGAGACGGAAGGCTCGTTTAGGAATTGCCTTCCATTGTCTCCGCAGATAAATTATTCCTGGTTGAGGTTCCCTGGGAGCTCGATCTCCAGGGCTAGGAGGACAGGGACCTGAGCCGGAGTGCGTAGAGCGGAGGGAGGAAGCGGTGTAGCCAAGTGGGGAGAGCCATGGATTCGCTCGGCCAGGTGCGGCGATGCCGCACCTCCCCTCCGCTCCGCAGCCTGGCTCCTCCGCCAGATTCTGGGCTCGGGATGCGCGGGGGGTGTGAGCACTCTCAGCGAGTAACGTGATGCATCTTCATCTCCTAGAACCCGAGCTTTGCGGAGCTCTCCGCGGCCCGGCTCCGAGGCTCTGCGGCCGCGCCGCGCGCCCCTACCGGCGCGCACCATGAACACCATCGTCTTCAACAAGCTCAGCGGCGCGGTGCTGTTTGAGGACCGCTGCGCTCCGGAGCGGGAGCGGGGCGGCCGGCCCTACGGCGGCGTCCTCGACAGTCCCCACGCCCGCCCCGAGGTGGGCATTCCGGACGGCCCGCCTCTCAAGGACAACCTCGGCCTGAGACACCGGAGGACCGGGTATGTGCACCCTCCCGGGGCCCCTGCCCGCCTGCAGCCCGGAGGGGTGGGGGCGGTGAGCGGCGCTAATGTGCAAGTGGCAACCAGGCCTGAGGATTAGGGGCCGGGAGTTTCGCGGGAAGGCAGGTCTCCACCTCCTGGTCTTGCGCATTGTCATTTTAAGGTATTAGTTTCTCAAAATATGGGGACGTGGAGAGGGGGGGTCGATTCTTCAGGACAGCTCTAAAGAGGCTTGTTGGAAGCTGAGGATCCCCGAAACTGCCCCTTGGCTCGGATACCTGGACCTCAGGGCAGGAATTAATTGTTCCTCTACGAACCGCGGGTGCAGAAGTGCGGCTAAGGGCGAGGCAGAAAGGACGGAGCGGGATGCGTAGAACAGTGCAGGGACAAGCAATCGGGACTTCCCTGCTCAGGCTAGTCCCCTGGGTTTCCCATCGTTTGTCACGACAGGGCCTAGCCATTGCCTCGAGCTCGCCTTGCCTCGGCCAAAGTGCTGGGAAGGTTGCCTCTGCGATGGGCGCGCTGGACGCACGCGTGGCTCAGCGGCGCCCGCTTCGAGCCGGGTTTCGATTTAGCGAGTGGGAGGCTGATAGGGGGCGAGGGGGACGAGAGCTTGCGGGTGGACCAGCTGCTCCGGCTGCAGATGCGTCCCGCCTGCGCCAGGAGCGCCACGCGGGGGGAGGGGCGGCCGTCCTGCCTGTCTCCACCTGAAAGATTGCATCAGCTGCTTGTTCTGTGGCGTTGCTGTTTAGTAAAATAGAGATTAGGTTTCGTCAAAATGTTACTACCAGTCCTTTCGGATGGAATTGCATTTCAAATGTTTACAGAGGCAAAGCCTTGGAGGTTGCGGCGCAGGCGCGCGAGCCTCCCAGACTTGCAGGGCGCGCCGGCGAACGCGCGGCGACACCTTCCGGAGCCGCCTGGGAGCACAGCGCCCAACATTCGGCTCCATGGGACCGAGCCTTCCATACATTTTAACTCTCCCTTTTGTCAGGAAAAGTGCCCTAGAGTGTTTTCTAGGTTCTGCATTCTATCTGCACTAAAGCTTTGGGCAATAGGAGCCAGTTCCAAGAAAACAAGGATAATGGGGCAGCTGCCTCCCTTGCTTTATTCCTGCCGTCCAGTGGGGCGACCTTTCTTTTGATCACAGGCGACAGGAAGCCTTGAGAGACAGGCATGAGTTCCCCCAAAGAATGCTCGAAAGCCGGCAGCAGCCTCTACCGGGTCTGTCAGGCCAGGGCCACTCAAGGGCGCGGTGCAGGGAGACGAGGAAAGGGTGATAGCCCCTCCGCTCAGATCTGTAGCTTGAATAACATTTTCCTTCGAATCACTTAACCATCGTCACCTACACCTTTAATCTCTGGCTACAGGCCTCAAGATATTCCCCTTTTCAAGATAAGCCTAGCATCCTTCACCGATGCATGATTCCCAGCGACAACCAGGCAATTTCAAAGAAAAATGCCCAGAAAAGGATAGTCCCCTCCAGAGGTTGTGCGGATGAATCCCTGCCTCGACTCCACCTCGGGGCACGCAGGGTGGTCGCGCATCCGTGGGCTGGGTGCCCGAGGGTGCAGGGAGTGGGGGAGAGGACGGGTCAGCGGCCACTCCCCGTGGACGAGGGGCTGCGGGCCAAAATGCGTTCAGACCCAGGAGATCCCGGCGGGCAGCGCCCAAATGGAGCTGCTCACTAGGGCCTCTGACTCTCCGGTGTCCCAGGGCCCGGCAGAATGGCGGGAAGGTGAGGCACAAGCGGCAGGCACTGCAAGACATGGCGCGGCCCCTTAAGCAGTGGCTTTACAAGCACCGTGACAACCCGTACCCCACCAAGACTGAGAAGATACTCCTGGCGCTCGGCTCACAGATGACTCTAGTGCAGGTAATTTGGGCCCACTAAGCCCCTGACGGTCTCCGGACAACTTGATGAGGAGCGGGCGCCCTTTGTGTCTGTGCTGACAGATCTCCACCTGGCGCCCCTTCATGGGGAAGGGTGGAGCAGAGAGAGGCGGGTCCGGATGCTGTCTTCTGCTGCCGGGAGTGATAGGGGTTGGCACAGGGGCAGAATGCTATGGTGGGAAGAGTTTCTGGGTTTTCTCATGCTGATGTCCTTTCCGAGAGGGTTTGTACGGTTTGTTAGGGAGCGCAATAAAAAGTCAACTGCATAGCTAATAGGAGTGTCTGGGAATCTGGACTCATGGTCCTTATGTAGATGAATACAGATGGACCTAACCGCAGAAATTTTCAAACTTGAGAGTGCAAGAGAATCTCCTGGAGGACTTGTTAAAACACAAAATGTTGGACCCCACCCCAGAGTTTCTGATTCAGTAGCTGGTCTGTGTTGGAGCAGGTAATTTGCATTTCTAGCAAGTTCTACAGGTGATGCAGAAGCTGCACGTCCTAGACCACCCTTTGAGAACCATGCAGAAGGCACCCCTCATTAGTGCCCCATATTAAAGGCCAAGTGCAGGATATTTTTTTAAATTGCCATTATTGAGAGAGCTAGGAGGTGGAATTTAGATTTTTTTTTTTTTAGTTAGAGGCATCTTGGGCATTAGCTAGGAACCGCAAAATTTTGCTGCTGGTATCTTTCTACTGGGATTAAGAAAAGGGAGATTTCAAATGGTTGGGCTAGTTTGTGAAGTGTAGAAAAACGGTGCAAGTTTATTTCTTTTCTAGTGAACACTACATTTGGTTAGATTTTTCCCTACATAATCTTATTTGATATAAACAAAAATGTGATGTAACCAAGGCATGTGAAAGTTAAGTGTTAGTAAGGGGTAGGCATAGGCCTGAAAATAATGTAATTCCAGATCAAATGCTGTTTCCATCACACCAGTTTTCTTTAAGGAATGTATGTAATGGCATGAACTTTTTTATACATGCAAACAGAAAAAAGTTCTTCAGAAAGAGAAGGAGGAGCTAAATGAGCTGACAAGTCACATATTATTGTAGAACTACATCACTGCATTTGTGAAATTTTGGTCATTCCATTGAATGTAGAGTAAGGGAGAACCTCAAAATAAAAGAATATTTAACTGTTAGATTAATTAAAAGTTGTTTTCCAAAGTATTTCAGATTGTCATTTTAGGAATTACTGGAGAGTTTGACAAAACATGAAAGTTGACTTATATGTAGGCTTATTAAACCATAATATGCATTTGTCTGCTTATTTTCAGAATACGATTGTAGAGAAAAACATCTGTTTGCTTCATATTTACGGGCTATGGTATTAATAGTGATTTGCTGCAGCACTGGAGGGGAAAATTAGTTTTCTTGGCTTAATATCTGTTTAACATAAAACCATGAACTTTCAGTGATTTATAAAAGTAGTTTCTAAAAAAATTATTTCAGTCAGAAAAACTTGACTTTTGAAAATCAATGCATATGTTCAGATTTTAGCTTAAACAGGATGCTATTTATTTGAAAAATACACCAATTTATAGAGCTGTTTGAATTTATCAATGCTGTCAGCAATAAAACATTAGATTACTTCAGTTGATTATATAGTTTCATATTTAATACTTGTCATTCTTTCAAACAGAAAGCAAAAAATAATTATGACATATGCAGAACATTTTTTAGTAATGAAAAGTAACATTTTCAGTAGCAGAGACATTTAAATTTTCGGGAGCCGTAGTTTTGTTGCGATGCAATACAAGTAGTTGTAACTTTAATGCAAAATCAAATTATTTTCTGCCTATAACAGTAGTTCAAACACAGTAATTCTTTTTTGCATTAAGATCTTGACAAGGCTATTACATTTTTCTAATTTACATGAAACTTTCATTCAGATAATCAAAATTTTTCTCA